AGGCGAGATGAATGCTATCAAGAATGGTGGATTGAGGCAAGATGAATGCTATCAAGAATGGTGGATTGGGGCGAGATGAATGCTATCAAGAATGGTGGATTGAGGCGAGATGAATGCTATGAAGCATGGTGGATTGGGGCGAGATGAATGCTATCAATAATTGTGGATTGAGGCGAGATGAATGCTATCAAGAATGGTGGATTGGGGCGCGATGAATGCTATCAATAATTGTGGATTGGGGGAGATGAATGCTATCAATAGTGGTGGATTGGGGTGAGATGAATGCTATCAATACTGGTGGATTTGTGGATTGGGGCGAGAGATGAATGCTATCAAGCATTGTGGATTGAGGCAAGATGAATGCTATGAAGCATGGTGGATTGGGGAGAGATGAATGCTGACAAGAATGGTGGATTGAGGCGAGATGAATACTATCAAGAATGGTGGATTGAGGCGAGATGAATGCTATCAAGAATGGTGGATTGAGGCGAGATGAATGCTATCAAGAATGGTGGATTGGGGCGAGATGAATGCTATCAAGAATGGTGGATTGGGGCGAGATGAATGCTATCAAGAATGGTGGATTGGGGCGAGATGAATGCTATCAAGAATGGTGGATTGGGGCGAGATGAATGCTATCAAGAATGGTGGATTGAGGTGAGATGAATGCTATCAAGCATGGTGGATTGGGGTGAGATGAATGCTATCAAGAATGGTGTATTGGGGCGAGATGAATGCTATCAAGCATGGTGGATTGAAGTGAGATGAATGCTATCAAGCATGGTGGATTGGGGCGAGATGAATGCTATCAAGAATGGTGGATTGGGGCGAGATGAATGCTATCAAGAATGGTGGATTGAGATGAATGCTATCAAGAATGGTGGATTGAGGCGAGATGAATGCTATCAAGCATGGTGGATTGGGGCGAGATGAATGCTATCAAGAATGGTGGATTGAGGCGAGATGAATGCTATCAAGAATGGTGGATTGAGGGGAGATGAATGCTATCAATAATGGTGGATTGGGGAGATGAGATGAATGCTATCAAGAATGGTGGATTGAGGGCGAGATGAATGCTATCAAAATGGTGGATTGGGGCGAGATGAATGCTATCAAGAATGGTGGATTGATGGCAAGAAATGGTGGATTGAGGCGAGATGAATGCTATCAAGAATGGTGGATTGGGGGGAGATGAATGCTATCAAGAATGGTGGATTGAGGCGAGATGAATGCTATCAAGAATGGTGGATTGAGGCGAGATGAATGCTATCAAGAATGGTGGATTGAGGCGAGATGAATGCTATCAAGAATGGTGGATTGAGGGAGATGAATGCTATCAAGAATGGTGGATTGGGGCGAGATGAATGCTATCAAGAATGGTGGATTGGGGCGAGATGAATGCTATCAAGAATGGTGGATTGGATTGGGCGAGATGAATGCTATCAAGCATGGTGGATTGAGGGAGATGAATGCTATGAAGCAATGGTGGATTGGGGCGAGATGAATGCTATCAAGAATGGTGGATTGAGGCGAGATGAATGCTATCAAGAATGGTGGATTGAGAGAGAGATGAATGCTATCAAGAATGGTGGATTGAGGCGAGATGAATGCTATCAAGAATGGTGGATTGGGGCGAGATGAATGCTATCAAGAATGGTGGATTGGGGTGAGATGAATGCTATCAAGAATGGTGGATTGGGGCGAGATGAATGCTATCAAGAATGGTGGATTGGGGCGAGATGAATGCTATCAAGCATGGTGGATTGAGGTGAGATGAATGCTATCAAGCATGGTGGATTGGGGCGAGATGAATGCTATCAAGAATGGTGGATTGGGGCGAGATGAATGCTATCAAGAATGGTGGATTGAGATGAATGCTATCAAGAATGGTGGATTGAGGCGAGATGAATGCTATCAAGCATGGTGGATTGAGGCGAGATGAATGCTATCAAGAATGGTGGATTGAGGCGAGATGAATGCTATCAAGAATGGTGGATTGGGGGGAGATGAATGCTATCAATAATGGTGGATTGGGGCGAGATGAATGCTATCAAGAATGGTGGATTGGGGCGAGATGAATGCTATCAAGCATGGTGGATTGGGGCGAGATGAATGCTATCAAGCATGGTGGATTGGGGCGAGATGAATGCTATCAAGAATGGTGGATTGAGGCGAGATGAATGCTATCAAGAATGGTGGATTGGGGCAGAGATGAATGCTATCAAGAATGGTGGATTGCTATCAAGAATGGTGAGAGAGATGAATGCTATCAAGAATGGTGGATTGAGGCGAGATGAATGCTATCAAGAATGGTGGATTGGGCGAGATGAATGCTATCAAGAATGGTGGATTGAGGCGAGATGAATGCTATCAATCAAGAATGGTGGATTGAGGCGAGATGAATGCTATCAAGAATGGTGGATTGGGGGGAGATGAATGCTATCAATAGTGGTGGATTGGGGTGAGATGAATGCTATCAAGAATGGTGGATTGGGGCGAGATGAATGCTATCAAACATGGTGGATTGGGGCGAGATGAATGCTATCAAGAATGGTGGATTGAGGCGAGATGAATGCTATCAAGAATGGTGGATTGAGGCGAGATGAATGCTATCAAGAATGGTGGATTGGGGCGAGATGAATGCTATCAAGAATGGTGGATTGAGGGAGAGATGAATGCTATCAAGAATGGTGGATTGGGGCGAGATGAATGCTATCAAGAATGGTGGATTGGGGCGAGATGAATGCTATCAAGAATGGTGGATTGGGGCGAGATGAATGCTATCAAGAATGGTGGATTGAGGCGAGATGAATGCTATCAAGAATGGTGGATTGAGGCAAGATGAATGCTATCAAGAATGGTGGATTGGGGCGAGATGAATGCTATCAAGAATGGTGGATTGAGGGAGAGATGAATGCTATGAATGCAAGAATGGTGGATTGAGGCGAGATGAAAGCTATAGAGATGAATGAATGCTATCAAGAATGGTGGATTGAGGCGAGATGAATGCTATCAAGAATGGTGGATTGAGGCGAGATGAATGCTATCAAGAATGGTGGTGGATTGAGGCGAGAGATGAATGCTATCAAGAATGGTGGATTGAGGCGAGATGAATGCTATCAAGAATGGTGGATTGGGGCGAGATGAAATGCTATCAGAGCTATCAAGCATGGTGGATTGGGGAGAGATGAATGCTATCAAGAATGGTGGATTGAGGCGAGATGAATGCTATCAAGAATGGTGGATTGAGGCGAGATGAATGCTATCAAGCATGGTGGATTGGGCGAGATGAATGCTATCAAGCATGGTGGATTGAGGCGAGATGAATGCTATCAAGAATGGTGGATTGAGGCGAGATGAATGCTATCAAGCATGGTGGATTGGGGCGAGATGAATGCTATCAAGAATGGTGGATTGGGGCGAGATGAATGCTATCAAGAATGGTGGATTGAGGAGAGATGAATGCTATCAAGAATGGTGGATTGAGGAGAGATGAATAGCATCAAGCATGCTGGATTGAGTGAGTGAGTTTAGATTTACGCCGCACTCAGCAATATTCCAAGTATATGGCGGCGGTCAGTAAATAATCGAGTCTGACCAGATGATCCAGTGATCGACATCCGGCATCGATCTGATGGGAACCGATGACATGTGTCAACCAAGTCAGGGAGCTGACCACCCGATCCCGTTAGTCGCCTCTTACGACAAGCATGGGTTACTGAAGATCAATATTCTAACCCGGACCTTCACGGGTAGTCAAGCATGGCGGTTTTAGGAGAGATTAATACTTTCAAACATGGTGGTCTAAGGTGAAATGAAACACTCAAAAGCATGACGGTTAAATTCGTGATGAGTACATATTCCGCATGCTAGGTTGAGGCTAGATGAGTACCATCCGGCATGATTGATTGATTGATGAGCATGAGGCGATGACTACTATGGAGCATGGTTGTTTGAAGCGAAATTAAAACATTCAAAGCATGACTATTGTTTGAGCATCGATCTACGCAAAACATTCAAAGCATGACTATTGATTGAGCATCGATCTATGCAATTGGAATACGATGACACGGCCGCTTGGGTGCAACAGGACACGATAAATTATGTGGTCGAAAACATAGATAGTTATCACCCTTACTCTAGTTAAATTAGAGTGAGTGAGTGAGTGAGTTTAGTTTTACGCCGCACTCAGCAATATTCCAGCTATATGGCGGCGGTCTGTAAATAATCGAGTCTGGTCCAGACAATCCAGTGATCAACAGCATGAGCATCGATCTGCGCAATTGGCAACCGATGACATGTGTCAACCAAGTCAGCGAGCCTGACCACCCGATCCCGTTAGTCGCCTTTACGACAAGCATAGTCGCCTTTTATGACAAGAATGGGTTGCTGAAGACCTATTCTACCCCGGATCTTCACGGGTCAGTTAAATTAGAAGATCTTTGATTGGTTAATAGTCAATTCAGATTCTATAGTCTCCGTTTACCCCGTTACAACGGTTAGTTTGGATGACCTTGACAGTTTCAGACCTTTGACATTTGGTGAATTCGACTTTCATCACGAAGAGTTCTTTTCGTCATTATTTGTAGAATGTGCAATGTTTCACCTACAAGAGTTATATCCCTTTGAATAATCCATCGACAATGTCTGCGACAACACTCATGGAGTCCCATGCCGCGTCACGAATAGAAGAGGAAGGCAAGAAACCTGTCCAAGAAACCTCAAATAAAGCACACACACCCTCCCCCCCTCCAACACACACAATGAAAACCCCCCGAAAAACAAAAAAATAACCCCCAAAACAAAAAAACAAACAAACAAAAACCAACGAAAGGGTAATTACTACGTTGTACAGCTATTTGCCAGGGAGTATGGAATGGCCGGATGAAATAAGGATTCAGATGGAATGAAGTACTGATTCATCCACACTGACTGGCAGTTAGGCGTGTAACTAATGATTCCACCTTTCGCCAATCAAGTGAATTATATTCCACGTTTACCTGTAGCAATATCCGTGTCCTCGTCATTGTTCCCGACATTGAGGATCGGCCGATAAGATAAGAACCACACAACACTGGACGGAATGTGGTCCAGTATCGCGGCCGCTGTTTTCTTTGTACCATGTCATTATGTTTGTTTGCTTTTGGAACAGACAATACAGTGATCGACGGCATGTGCATCGATCTACGCAGTTGGGATACGATGACATGTGTCAGCCTTTGAAAACCTTAAGCTTCATCTCACAACCTTTCTCTACAAACAGTTCTATATCAATGGACTTCGATAATGCCTTATTGGTTGTTAGTGCTATGAGCATACCTGCTGTATAATGAACACATTATTATTATAATGTTTTTACAGATTAAAGATAGTATGCAGCAGAGAGTGTTCGGGTGATCCTGGCACAGTCAGGCTGGTAAGGCTCATCATCAGCTCAGGGCCCTCGCCCCCTCTACACGCAGCCCAGACAGCGAATGGGACTTCACCCAGGAAACGCTGCCTAGCCGAACCCACCAAGAACTTTCCGGAGAACATTTCGACATTTCATATTGATATTTCCTTTAAGAATCACATTTTGGCGGTTGCGAGTGGGAAGTGACTGGTCTTGGGCTGCAAAAAGAAAGCCCTCACTTTCATATTTAATACCAGCCGACTTCATCCAGATGAAGGAGTCAGTTGGATTGCTATTCTGTTCCACACACTGCATGTACACACGATGCAATGGTTTCTCAGAAAGCTTTTCCACAAATGACCGACCCTGGGCAGACTTGGTGAAGGACTTCACCTGGTTTACTCCCATCACTGTACCGTCCAGCAGATTGTCCAACAATCTTGGCACTCTTAAAATAGCTGTGGAATTCCTAGCTTTCATTATTAATCTTGCATATTTTTGTATTGATTTTTCTCCAGCTTTTCTATCCTTGAGAGTCTATACTGGAATAGAAGCCTGCCTTTTCCCTTGCAGTGTACAACAGTACTTAGTACCATAATTGCAGAGAGGCATTGCGACTCTCCACAACCAAATATAAATATGTTTTACGTTCTTAAGCTTACCGACCACAGCATCCTCCGTCACTATTAATACACTGTGAATGTGGGTTTGAAATTCTCCATTCGGTGGGGGTTAAAGCGCCCGCTCGTCACCCTTAAGACCCGGATACAATTCATCACATGGATACAATGTGTGGAACCCATTTTTAGTGTCCCCCTCCCCCCCCACCGTGATATTGCTGGAATATTGCTAAAAGCAGCGTGGAACTAAACTCACTCACTCACTCCATGTAAACCTGCCCGCCATCCTAGTACTCTTCACTGTTTTGTTTTTTAAAAATATTTTAGTTTGTTTTGGTTTTTTCTGTTTTTGTGTGTATTTTGTTTTGTTTTTATTGTATTTTTTATGGTTAATTAGTTAATTTATTTTTATTTATTTATATATCTATTTTAATTGGGGCACCGCGACAATGTTCATTCTAAGATTCTATGATAGACATGCGACCGTATGGAGATTTGGTCTTCTTGCGTTATAGGGGCGGTGGGGTAGCCTAGTGGTTAAAGCGTTGGCTCGTCACGCCGAAGACCCGGGTTCGAATCCCCACATGGGTACAATGTGTGAAGCCCATTTCTGGCGTCCCCCGCCGTGATGTTGCTGGAATATTGCTAAAAGCGGCGTAAAACCAAACTCAGTCAGTCAGTCTTGCGTTATATAAGAAACCTTTCGACCGCAAAGAGGCATACATACTACCCATCAAAAGTTTAGACTCACTTAAAACATTCACTATATGTAATGTATGTATATATGGTTACAACGAAGTTGAATGTCTCCACTAACTTGGGGGAAACAACTGCAAACCTTATGCAGATTTATTGCACGAGGATCATGCATCAAACTGCTGAAAAATATATACAAATATCGTGCATGTGAACAGCTGCGTTTTGGTGTAAAGTTTAGATAAGAATTCACCATCATTTATTGAACGCATGACATTAATCTTTTCAACGTTATGAATTTGTTTTACAATACATCAGTTCATGTATAAACAGCATCTTCAACCAGTATGGAATATTTTGCAAAATTCAGCTTAGAACAGTTGCCTCAAGTAAGTGGCTACATGTACACTAGTGAGTCTAAACTTTTGATGGGTAGTATAGTCCATTAATGCTATTGACAACACCACCACCACCACCACCACACACACCCCGGCGCAAACCTCTCTCCTCTCCCCGGTTATCTATCACCTTTCAGTGCTCGCGTTGGCCACTTGGTGCCAATTAACTTATGAACTGAAATTCTACACATACTCTTTCCAGCAGCAAATATGATACCCTGATACTGTCCAGTCTGTAACCTATTGAACTGTTAGTTGTGCTAATTGGTAGCAACGGAAACCGGAAAACCTTCATTAACAGAGAAATGATGAACTACCGTAAACTACGTGGATGTTTTCGTGGGGATGCTAGATATGACTTCTGTCCATCTTTATCACAGAGTGATCAAATACTATCGACTATTGGGCGTGTTCCACTACTGCTTGTTAGTGCGATTTTGTCAGGATTTGTTTGTCTTGTGAGTTCACCTTAACGAACAACTGGACACTTTCATCCGGGGTATATGCTTGAATCCGTAGGCGTGATCTTCTCTCAGGTCACAAGTAGCAGAACTTCTTTTCTGTGAAGAGTGGCTGTATTCGGTTCTTGGGCAATACCTCCAACGTAGATTCGGCCGTCACACTACCAGACCAATGGAGCAGTGTAACAGCCCACCTTTAGGAAAGAATGTTTTAGAATATTTAGTTGAGTCAGTATGTATGATCAACACAATCATTCTCCTTTTGGTCATCCGCATGACGCCCTCACTCAAGGGGTTCTCGGGAGTTTTGTTACTGAACGAACAGGTAGCCTGTTTAATACATCAAGTGTCTGGTGTGATGTTTCTGTATGCGAGGGCAACGGCGCCAGGCAGTACCTTTAATGAAACAGCACAAGTTCTCAGGGAATCATCTCATTCTGTAAGCCTTTGTCTGTTGTTTGTGATCAACCTCAACTTGTATTTGGCTGTCTGCAAAGGAACAACCTACAAAACATTGGTCACATGGAAAAGAGTTGCAGTCATCGTCACCATAACTTGGATACTGTGCATTGTTTGGGGCCTTGTACCTTTGTTCTATGATTTTTTTGTTCTGGACTGTACATCTCTCCATTTAGTATCCAAGCCTGCTGCTGTAACAGGATGGAGGGCTGTTGGGTACCTCCTTCAAGGTGGTTTTATAATAATAGGCAGCATAGTGATACTGCTGAAATTACGCTATCACAGGAAAAGAGTGCAGCCAGATTACACAGTGCGAGCCATGTCTGACACGCAGAAAAAAATGAAATTGATGAGACTGGCATTTGTAGCAGTCATGTTTCAAGCTATAGCATTTACGTTTATACAAGTTTCTTTCATTTCTCCTAAATCCGGACGACTGTTTGCTGTTTTGCGAAAGTGTATGCCTATCATATTTTTAATGGACAAACTCTACAGTTGTTTCCGATTGTGTTTCTATCTGTTTCTGTACAAACCGATGTGGGAGGCCACCAAATCCCTCCTGCGCTGTTGTAGGGTGAACGTGAACCCGAGAATCGTTAACGTTGTTCCACAGAAAGTGGACAACGGGATAACTCATCCCACAGAGGACACACCCAACAACGTGATAACGTCATTCCCATCCACAGGGACACAGCCAAGTAACTTCATAACGTCAACCCATCCCACAGAGGACACGCCCATCAACGTAATAACGTCATTCCCATCCACAGGGACACACTCAAGTAACTTCATAACGTCAACCCATCTCACAGAGGACACACCCAACAACGTGGTAACGTCATTCCCATCCACAGGGACACAGCCAAGTAACTTCATAACGTCAACCCATCCCACAGAGGACACACCCATCAACGTAATAACGTCATTCCATCCACAGGGACACACCCAAGTAACTTCATAACGTCAACCCATCCCACAGAGGACACCCCCATCAACGTGATAACGTCATTCCCATCCACAGGGACACACCCAAGTAACTTCATAACGTCAACCCATCTCACAGAGGACACATCCAACAACGTGGTAACGTCATTCCCATCCACAGGGACACAGCCAAGTAACTTCATAACGTCAACCCATCCCACAGAGGACACACCCATCAACGTGATAACGTCATTCCATCCACAGGGACACACCCAAGTAACTTCATAACGTCAACCCATCCCACAGAGGACACACCCATCAACGTGATAACGTCATTCCCATCCACAGGGACACACCCAAGTAACTTCATAACGTCAACTCGTCCCACAGACGTCTACAGATCCTACACCTGTACACCCAACAATGGAATAACGTCAATCATTTCCACACATAGCACATCAAACAACGCCTTGACGTTAGTCCAACCCATAGAGGACTTACATGGACCATACATCATGATACCTGCAGACCAATCGACGGCAAGTTACAAGACCATACAACTGGCGGTTTAATTTGCTTTACGTCAGATTAACCAAGGTGAGATAAAAGAATTAGTCATTTTGTAGAAACTTTGACAGAAAACTGTAGCACAGCAAATATATTTTCTCTATTGCACATTTGCTGATTATTTTGTAATGAGAAAACCAGCTGAGTATTTTACTGTTATGTTGCTGCATCTTTTACTCAAATTGCCGATAACTCACTAAAATCAGTGGACCTTTCAAGTTTTGTTTTTACCATAGTTCACTGTTTGATAAACTGTATGTTACTGTCGAACCTTGCTGTGTCGATTTCGGTTTTTGGGAGGATGGTGGTATGTCTGTATACATCATTCAGCCTTTTCAGAGGAATACTTGTAACCCACGTACCACATCGGGGTACGTGGTTAGTGGATTTGAAGTGGTTACATGTTAGTAAAACCGTTTGGAGACCTACAATTGTATACAAAAACGTATGAACTGTTGTTCATGAAAACTGAATGAGAATACATTTGGAACTGGGACTGTGATTTTAAGTATACATATCAGTATCGCA